TATATGGAGGTACATACACAAGAAAAGTAGGAAAACCTCAGGGAGGGGAGTGATGGTCAAAACTGGCAAACTGATGCCCAGAAATCCGAGTCCACCTGATTTAATGATGAAACGGTCATTTGTAGGGGCGCCTGGGTGGCTCAGTCAGTTAAGCATCTGCCCTGGGCTCAGGTCATGATCTCAGGATTCTGGGATCGAGCCCCACATCGGGATCTGTGCTCAGCAGGGAGCCTGCTTCCCGCCCCTCCTCTGCCTGCCTCTCTGCCTACTTGTGATCTCTGTCTGTCAAATAAATAAAATCTTAAAAAAACAAAACAAAACAAAATGGAAAACAATCATTTGTAACTTTATCAGGAATAGTTACAGGAATATAGTGGTTTAGAAGTCAGATTATAGCATATTTAAATAGTATTTATAAGAAAATTGATGCAGCAGATAGAATGTTTCTAATTCATTTGTTCACTTAATATTTGTTGTGTTGCCCATTATGATCACTGTGCTAGGCTTTGGGAATATAGCAACAAGTAGAACAGATTTATATCCTATCCTCATGAGCCTGTATTCTAGGATTCTTTTTGCTGTGAAAAGGAAGAGAGGATTGTTACCTACTAAAGGGGTCGTGGAGCTATAGCAGGGTTATTATTATTTAAAAGTTTGAACATATTTAAATGCTGATGGGAAAGGGGTGATAGAGGAGAATTAATGATACAGAGGACAGAGATATTAAAGTCTGAAATGATATATCAACATGGGATTTTAGAAACATGAGTTGAAAGAAATAGCCCTGGATGAAAGAGGAGGCTCTTTTTGCATTATAACATGAGGAAAAAGTGGATTCAGATGGAGCTGAGTTTGGAAGTTTGGTGGCAATAAGTCAAGGGAATTCTGATGTCTTCTATTTTGCCTCTAACTGGCGAGACAAAGGGGCACCTGGGTGGCTCAGTCAGTTAAGCATTTGCCTTCGGCTCAGGTCATGATCCCCGGGTTCTGGGATCAAGCCCCATATTGGGGTCCTCGTTTGGTGGGAAGCCTGCTTCTCCCTCTCCCTCTGCCTGCCATTCCCTCTTCTTGTGATCTCTCTCTTTCTGTGTCAAATAAATAAATAACATATTTAAAAAGAAATAAACGGAGAGGCAAAACTGAGAATAAGGACAGAAGCAATAGCAGTTCGAGAGGAATATGGGTATTTGAAATAACTGCTGTGGGGAATAGAAGAAGGTGCCATCAGGAGAAGGAACTTGCTGGGAGTACTGAGGGCCCATTTAAAATTCCTGACCTTGAATTTACAGTGACACCAATCTGTGGAACTTAAGATCTTCTATAATAGCATTCCATGTGGTAAGTACTGGGACAGCAAAGGGATATTGTTGAAATCACTTAGGACTGAGGTTTTGCCAGGTAAATTTGGTGGATGCTAGCAAGTGAGTGCTTGAAGTGATGGACCATGGAGTCTAAGTTAGGAAGGGAAGGAAGGAAATAAAGCCAGCAGAGGGCCAGTAGTTCAGTGCCTAGCACATAATACTCAATAAGTATTTGTAGGTCACAAGTAAGTGAAGTGAGGGAGCTTGTGAACTGGTTATGTCAAGGTGTTTCAGGTAGCTTTGAGAAAGAGCTTGGGGATCAGAGGACAGCATGCCTGAATTTATGTTTTTAGAGGTAGATTATTTCTGAATATGATCATGAGATAAAAAAGGCCATTGGAGTTAGGAAAGACACACATGGAATGAGGTCACTATGCAGAGTTTAGGATGGAGAGGAAGACCAAACTGGGTTGCGGCATGAGTCAGTGACTAAGACATAGTGACAGGGGGACACAAGGTGGTGAGCGGAATGAACCAGGTATCAGAGGAGCAGAGCTTTTTGCACGAGGACACCAACCCTACCCAAAGGACTGCCTGGAATTTAATCATTAGAAAGAGCTGGAGAGGAGACAAGGTCCTTCAGGGGTAGCCAGATTACAGTTAAGCCCAGAAGAGAAAAAAACATTCATGGAAGAGGTAAAGGATGTAGAGAAATTTACTGACCAAGGAACAGGGGAAAGGTTTGGACAGAGAAGCAGTGGGAGGCTTTAAAGGAAGCACAAAATATGGAGGTAGAATATGGGAGAAGAAAAATGATGAGAAACATTAAATAATTGTCCTTGGGTTGTTCTTAATGTGAATGGTAGTTTAAAGTTTCTTTCTTACACAGTCATTGCTAACATAAGAAGATTGCTTAAAGTTGTCTGGTTGCAAGTTGTCAGTGGAACCAAACTAAAAAATAACTCAAACTGCCCACAAAAGTAAAAGGAAATAAAGTAGTACCCTGTGAGAAAAAAAGTATTTCAGTGTAGTGAAAGAATTGATAAAATGTAATCAAAGGATAAAAGCAAAATTAAATCTTAAATCTTTAGGCATTTCATTTAACTAACTTGTATTAAAGTATTCTGAATTCTGATTTAAGAATTAATTACTCCTAGGCAAATTGTCACTGATATTATTTGTGTTTATCCTATTTTTTCTATATGCTTAGTTTAGAAAATGATTCATTTTAGTTCTAAGAATCTCCATATTATATAAAAACTATCCAAAACCTTAACATCATATTTATATAAATTTAATATGCATCTGAAGCCATGAAAAGCCAGAGAAAAGTACATACAAAGCACATAATTCTCTCTGTAGAAATTTAAAGTTTCTACAGTTGTTTATTAAAGTTGTTTACAGTAAATTGTTTTTCTCTGCGTCCTATAAAGCAAAAAGTTATCTTTGGAATGTGTGACATAATTTTTGATGTTTTCCTTGTGGTTATTCTTTCAAATTCTTCCTTGTTTTAGAATAATATATGTGGGGACCAGTTGGCAAGTCACCTGTTTACATTAGGGGATGGAGGGATGATAAAGACATTCATACATCTTGGGCAGTAAATGTTTCTTAAAGGAATGATCTTATATATTCAATTCCTGAATAATTGTCTGTCTTGAAAAAAATCCAAAAATCTTAATGGTATCATTTAGTTTGTTTGAGTACTTTCTAGTGGCAAAGCAGAGAAAGGGAACATAGTGAAACTTTTATAGATTCTTTAAGTGTCTTATAAAAGACACTTAAAGAGCGTAGTGTTTTTCCATCAGTCCATTTGTTCTACCAAAGAAAACTTTATTGCAGAAACTACTAAAGTTACCCAACTAGACTGAGTAGAATAGAGGAGCCCCACCACTAACAAATCTCAGTATTTCATTTGTTCGTGTTTTCTTCTGGTCCTAGTCCGTGATCCCGACGCTTTTCCTGTGCTGTCACTACTGAGTTGTAATTCTGTTCTTTTCCCTCCTTAGTATTGTAGGTGTGTCTTTGTATTGGTTATTTTGTATGACTGTCTCCCATTCTATCAAATAATAGCTTCTAATCTTGTAGTTTTGGAATGTAAATGTTTTCATCTTAGCTGCTTCTAAATTTTTTTCCCCACACAATGTCAAAAAACCCCAAAGCCCAAAATAATAAAATTTAACATGAAGTCCACCTTATCTTGTTACTTTAGGTTTATAACCTTAAGACCCAAAGTTATGGTGGATATATATCCCTGGAGAAACACACACATTCCCCTTACCTTTCTGCCTGTGGTTAGAAATAGCTTCTTACATCCATTTCCTTCTAAGATCCTCTAAAAAAAGATCTTTTGGACCGTTATGATTTATGTTTTTTGGTAATTTTGTCCAACTGGAAGTTTGTACTTCTTATGATTTTGTTTTTTAAAAAAATGCCTTGTGGTACCTTGTTGCCAGTATTTTTGGGAGGTCCTAGAATTGAATGGAAGAAAAACATTAAAAGAGATGATGAGGTAATAACCACATATTTTATGTCTTTATGCTTGAGAATTTTATTTTAATACTTGTTTTCAGTTATTTTATTACTCTTAATGACAACAGGATTGTCTTGGAAATGTTTTTATACCACTTGGAAAGGTTTAGTATTCTTCAGAGGCAGTAAGGTATAAAACAGTAAGGTATTCTTTGGTCCTACGTTAGGCACCACAATAGCTGGAGCATCTCACTGGAGCTATTTTTAAATGTGTTTTCATAAGCAGTATCCATAGTTCCCTCTTCCACATTTTAAACAATATTTGATATGTCAGTCATTTGCTTAGAAACTTTTTTAGAACGTGTATTACAAAATGATAGACAAAAACATTAATTGATGATGGTTTAATAAATAAGAGTGTGCAATTAGTGAATCTTTAAAAGACCGTTCTCCCATGGATGATTATTTTTGCAGAATTGAATACTTTAAGGCTTTAATTTTATACTTATCGCTAGATCATTATAACTAATTATTTTGACCATTTATTCAAATAATAAACCTCCAAGTCTGAATATTTATAGTGAAGAATGAGTTTGGAGAAAGAAGAATAATTATATGTCTCTGTCTCTCTATTTTATTCTGCCTGCCATCAGAGTACAAAAATATACATCTACATCGTCTGTTTGTTGTATCGTATTCTTGGATCATACAGATTTAGTTACAATACACATACAGGTCACCCAGTGTTAGAAGACTGAAAAGAATGAAAGCTACGAACAAGGACGGATGAGCTATGCATTATGTAATGATAAAACAGGTGTTTGGGAAGATAAACAGTGTTCAGAAGCAGAGAAGATTTAAATACTTCTGCATCTCTAATTACTTTACTCTGGTTATTAGACAAAAAAACAAATAGCTTTCAAATGAAATCTAAACTTTCTTTAGTATAATTGAAATACAGAATGTTGAATAGTTCTAACTTCGTTTCCTTTTTTTCAGAAAAGCAAACTTTATGCATGGGAGGAAAAAAAACCTTTTTAAAGAAACTTTGTTCCAAGTGACATTTTATAAAATTAATTCCATTCCTATTATGGTGCTTTTGATAGCACTATAGAATTGGTTAGCATTGGTTGTGAATTGTTTTGCATGTGCTTCCCAGAACCACACATACAAAGCTGAGCAGTCTAGGGGTGAGGATGCTAACATATTATCTATTTTTGTTTATAGGACGGTGAACTTTGACATAATAAAATACTTGTATGATTTCTTGTGAAAATAAGCTTCAAAGCCATATGGACACTGTGACAATGACTAAGCCAAGCTGTGTTCATCCATCTACTTAGCTGGCCAGGGAGAGGAGTTCTTTGGCTCTATTGGATTTGTCCAGACAGGTGCTGGCCCAGCATGGAATCTGATGAAAATACTCTGATTGGTCTGGGTGGATGTGAGCAGAAGACTATTTACCAGGGACCCTGGAGTATTTGGAAGCAACGTGTTAATTATAAACAGCAGGGTTTGAGCACAATCTGTTCTACTCTTAATGATGTTATCTTAACACTGAAATTGCCTGAAACCCATTTACTTAGGACTACATTCTGCTCTGTGAACTATCCCCTGCGCTTTGAACGTGCCAGCAGCCCTTGTATATAAGCCCAGTCTTTTCACTTCCTCTCCACAGGAGCCTCTGCAGTTGCTTGCCAAAGCAGATTTTCCTAAGGCCACCGTTTTAAAAGATCATAGTTGCAAAATATAATAAATAGAAGTTGATTTTTTTTAAAAAAAATCCAAGCTTGTGTATGCTTATTCCTCACCCTGATTTTCTCACAACCACAAGGTAGTTTGATCAGATACAGGCCAGCTTTCCATCTCTAAGCCTGCTTCGTATCTGCGGTATGCTCGCGTGTGCGGTTTTTCTGGTCACTCTGGCGATTAACCACCCAGCCTAGCTTTTTAATCTGCCGGATAGTTTTCTTTTCCTTTTTTAATCATTGGCCTTTAAGAGTTCCACAATAAAATGTTTTCCTGTTATATCGGTTATGAACCTTGGGTCTGGTTTTCTTTTCATATTTTTGAAGAAGAGTTCCATTAGCAGTTGAATACTAAAAAATTGTCCTAAGCAGATTTAGAGTGCTTAATTACAGAGCCTAGTTTACATGTCAGGGGCATTTTATTCTTTCATTCCTTTTTTGAAGAAAAATTCTCCCAACATACAGTGCCAGGTAGGAAGCCTTTTCGTGTAGTTATTGCCACATTCTGGATCAAGGAAGACAAGCAGCTGTGAGCTTGCATTTGTTTAGAGGTAATGAGTCGGGGAGCAGGAATGGACTTCCTGTTTGCCTCCCAAAGGATGGCATCCACCCTCGCCCTACATCTCTTGCCCCACAGAAAGCGGTGAAATTTTGTGTTCCAGAAGATGTTTGGAGAAACCAGAACCAGGGGAAAGCCATATGCGTTGTGATTTCAGGCTTAGGTTTCCTGCCTGTAGAAATCCAGGTATCATTAAAGTAGAAAGCTGTGTGGGTCGCTGATTCAATCAGGAGCAGTGCCACTTGGGAGAGTTTTCAGCCCCTCATAGTTGGCTATGAAGTGGCAGATCTGCTGTGCAGCCTTCTTGGATAAGTTGGGACCAATCTGCATTTTGAGGGAAGAACTCTGGAATGTCGAAGGAGAAGAGATCGTCAAATGGGGCACAGGGGTGAAGGATGTAAAGGAGACAAAGTACAGTGTACTTTGTAATGGAAGTAATTCTCCATGTCTGCTGACCACCTGTCCCCTGCCCAGTACCTTGCCTGTCCCGTCCTGCCACACCAGGTGCCACCAGGCCCATGTGTGGCTTCCCTGCAGGAGACCTTGTAACCAGATTTTCCCTGCTCCTGACTGGACCAAAAGAACTTCTTTGTTTGTAATTCCCTTTCTAATGGCTTGCTAAATGACTCACTAACTAATTTGATTAATTTATTTAAATGAAGGCTAACAGAGCTTAATATGGGTATTAGCATTTTAACAAGGGTCATCTGCAAATGAATTCTGTAATGGGAAGATACGAATCTGCAATTACAAGAAGGAATCTAATGGTGAGAATTACGCTGGCTGATGGGCCAGATATTTCCATTAAGAGAGGAGATGCCTTGGGAATGGAAATTGGTGCAGCCACTATGGAAAGCCGTATGGAGTTTCCTCAAAAAATTAAAAATAGAGCCACCATATGATCCAGCAATTCTACTTCTGGCGATTTATCTGAAGAAAGTGAAAAACTAAATTGAAAAGGTAGATGTACCAGTGTGTTCACTGCATTATTTCCAGTAGCCAGGATATGGAAGCAACCCAAGTGTCCATCGATGGATGAATGGATAAAGATGTGGTACATATATGCAGTGGAGTACTACTTAGTCATAAAAAAGGGTGAAATCTTGCTATTTGCAGCTGTGTGGATGGCCCTTGAGGATGTTACATGAAGTGAAATTAGAGCAAAACAAAATACTCTGATTTCAGTTATATGTGAAATAGAAATGACAAAATGAAACCAAACTCCTAGATACAGAGAGCAGACTGATGGCTGCCACCAGGGAAGGTCATTCATGGTGGTGGGTAGGGGGTGAAATGGGTAAAGAGAGTCAAGAGGTACAAACTTCCAGTTATAAAACAAGTCATGGAAGTAGTAGTATGCAGTATGGTAACCACAGTCAATAATACTGTGTTGCATATTGAAAAGTTTCTAAGAGAGTAAATCTTTAAAGTTCTCATCATAGGAAAAGAATGTAACTTTTCAACCCTAATTGTAATATAGAGTTTGTAAATATATAGTTTATAAACATCTTAAGGGTACCTGGGTGCCTTAGGTCATGATTTTAGCTCACGTCATGATCTCAGGGTCCTTGGGATTTAGCCTTTCCTTGGCCTTCCCACTCAGTGGGGAGTCTGCTTGAAATTCTTTTCCTCCCCCTCTGCCACTCCTCCATCCTTCCCCCAGCTCGTGTGTTTGTTCTCTCTCTCTCTCTCTCTCTCTCTCTCGCTCGCTCGCTCTCAAAATACATAAAATCTTTAAACATCTTAATTTCTAACACCAGACATGATAAAATATATGAAATATGTTGAAATTAATCAGGAAATAATTTTTGTTTGTTATGTAATTAACATTCTGGTGCATCATTTGTAAAAAGAGAGGAGGCACTCAAATTTTGCTCCACAAGTATTCTACCTAGATCTAAAAAATGATTTAGGTGGTAGAAGAAGAAAGATTGCATGCTGTGGGGTTTTAGATTTTTTCATATATGGTTGACCATTTGAAAAATATTTTCTTTCAATTACTGTGACTCAGGTGTATACCTAGTTAGGTGGAGATCATATGCCCTCTTGTCTCTTACTTTCAAGTTTCAATTCTGCAGTCAGTCTTCATTGCTGAAGCAATTCCTTTTCAATAATTCTGGAAGGGATTCTGATCCAACAAGCCTATGCTCATTAAGCCCTAAAGTCAGAAAGGGGTCAGGGTTCTAGCTAAGAGTTAAGAGTTGGGGCTCTGGGGAGCCTGCTTCCCTCTCTCTCTCTCTCTCTCTCTCTCTCTGCCTGCCTCTCTGCCTACTTGTGATCTGTCCCTGTCAAATAAATAAATAAAATCTCTTAAAAAAAATTTAAAAAAAAAAAAAGAGTTGGGGCTCTGGAGTCAGACTATCTTGGATCAAATATCAGCTATATCTCTACAAGCTGTGTGACCTTAGGCAAGTTGAATCTGTCTGTGCATCTCTTTTCACACCTGTACAGTGGAGAGTAGAACTTAACTCCTGGAGTAGTTTAGAAGATTAAATAAGTTGATACATGGGAAGCAGTATAATTCTCAGCCAGGGGGCAGTTTTTCCCACCAGGGGATATTTAGCAATTTCTGGAAATATTTTGGTCCCAGCTGTGGGATGTGTGGAGGGATGGGGTACTGCTAAACATCTTATGTGCCTGCCCCACAACAGAATTATCTTGTTCAAAATGTCGGTAGTGCTGAGGCTGAGAAACCTGATCCAAGGTTCTCAGGTTCTTACCTGGCATAGTAAGTGCTCAGTAAATGTTGGCTGTTATTAACATGAAATATTTGTGGCCTAGAAAGCAGGTAAGTGAGGGAATGTAGCAACGTTCCAACTAGAAAGGAAAGAGGTACTCTTACCTAACCACACCTAAGGAAGGTATCTCTTGTTTCAGATTTTGGAATTATGCAAATGGACACAAGACCTTGGATTTTTATTTTGAAATTGAAGGATTATCTACTGGGTTCTTTTTCATGCACGGCTTTCAGTATTGTTTTTCAAGATTTTGTCCAATAGTGAAAAGCATGTGCTGAGAGTGACCAAATCAGAGAACAAGTGACACACGCTGTTTTCCCTCAAGGTGGGATGGTTGAGCAATGGGTGGTTTACCTCCAACGGATTTAGTTAACCCACGACTGTTTAATGTAATTAAGGTGTCTGGAGCATGGAAAATGGGCATCAGAAGCAGCCTCTTTAGTCCCTTTAAGGTGTGCACCGCTGCTCATACTATGCAGAGAAAAGTAATGCACCAAGTCCAGGGATAGTGCATCCCTTGTCACACAAAGTCCTAAGTCTCTAAATAGTATCTGGAAGGCAGCCACTGCCCCTGTGTGTGCAATTAGGGCTGTAATAGTGTCCTCCAGTGCTACCTCAAGACTCACACTATTTGTGTATCATAATTGTTCGCATTTTATGCCTTTTGCCATGAGCAAAGACTTGGAAGTAATTAGACCAGAGGTTGATATTATTCAGCTTCATCCCCTACATTTTGAAAGCTTCATCTGCTACAAAGTGGGACTGTCTATCATATGTAAATAGTTTAGATAATTTTGCATGTAATTTCAGTCTGCTGACACATTTTGCTTTCAAAAATGCTTAGTAGAGCTCAAAAAAATTCTTTACTATCAAGATACCAACATTTCACTCAAATTTGCTATTAAGTGCCCTGAATACACAGTTAGTGTTCATTTTCCAGCAGTGGCACATTCATGAAGCACAGTATGAGAAGCAGAAATTTGGTAGAGCAGAGAAAATTATAATCAATTCATTCATTTAACTGCATGTTGATGCACAGTAATGATGGGAATTTTAGAAGGCATTCAACTGTTTGAGTAAATAGTGGTAGCTTTGGCATGAGGAAAGAGTCTGGATTTTAGAGACAGTGAAGATCTGCTGGGGTTTGGGATGAACCACAAACCTTTTCATTGGTCTTTGAAGGAGTTGAGAGTCTAATTTAATGGCATTTTCCATACAAATATTGAATATTCATCCAAAAAATACTAAGTACCAGCTGTGTGCCCGGCATTGTGTTGGTGGGGAAGGAGAGACAGCAGTGGTCACAGGAGTCCATGTCTGGCCTGGACAACCAGTGCTCTGAGCATCGGTAGAGTTATTCCATGAGACAGGAAATCTTGGCGGAAGGACTAGATCTGTGGGATAAGGAAGATAATGAGTTCAATTTGAACATGTTGCCATTGAGGTGCTTAATCAGGTGGAAGTGTAAAGTAGGTAGTTGCATCTACGTTTGAGATCTGAGTTACAGTCAAGTATAAATGTAAAGGTCATCAAAATAGAAGGGGCTCTTTAGTGAGTTAGAGGTCTTAGTTCTTAAAGTCATGTCCTTGACATGGTGAGGAAGAAACTCTCTGGAAGTGAGTTGAAGAAAATATATAGAAAGTGGCTATAGCTATTGCCATTCAGCCCACCACAGAACTGCAGGTTAAATTTATTGTTTTTTTCAAGTAACAATTCCTCACTGTTCATATAAACCCCATTCTCTCCAGTATGTGAAGTGGCAGCGAAAGAGACATGGGCTAAGTCCCATTTAGTATCTGGTCTCAATGAAAAATCAGACCCACTTAGAGTCTGTCTTCTGTGGAGAACTTAGTTCCAAACATTTAGTCACTTTGGGCTGACTCTCACAGTAAGAGAGGTGTTGCTGTGGCTCAGGTGTGCCCTGGAATTTCTGAGCCCTCTTTAGGTTCACTTCTTCTGAGACTGAAGTTTTCGCCATCCTTC